CTGGGCCAATTTTGACCAAACTTGGTACAAAGCATCCTTGGGTGAAGGGGAATTTAAATTGTTAAAAAGAAGGGCCAAATCCCTTAACAAGGGGAGATAATCAAGAAGAGACAAAAATAGGGTGGGTGCATTAAAAAATCTTCTTCTCAAGAACCACTGGGCCAGAAAAGCTGAAACTTATGTGGAAGCATGCTAGGGTAGTGTAGATTCTAAATTGTTCAAATCATGACCCCCGGGGATTGGGCGAGGCCACAATGGGGAATCCAAGTTTTACATAGAAATATATAGGAAAAATCTTCAAAAATCTTCTTCTCAAGAAACATTGGGCCAGAAGAGCTGAAACTTATGTGGAAGCATCCTGGAGATAATCAAGAAGAGACAAAAATAGGGTGGGTTCATTAAAAAATCTTCTTCTCAAGAACCACTGGGCCAGAAAAGCTGAAACTTATGTGGAAGCATGCTAGGGTAGTGTAGATTCTAAATTGTACAAATCATGACCCCCGGGGATAGGGCAGGGCCACAATGGAGAATCAAAGTTTTAAGTAGAAATATATAGGTAAAATCTTCAAAAATCTTCTTCTCAAGAACCACTGGGCCAGTTAGGCTGAATCTTATGTGGAAGCATCCTGGGGTAGTGTAGATTCTAAATTGTTCAAATCATGACCCCCAGGGGTAGGGCGGGGCCACAATGGGGAATCCAAGTTTTACATAGAAATATATAGGAAAAATCTTTAAAAATCTTCTTCTCAAGAACCATTGGGCCAGAAAAGGTGAAACTTATGTGGAAGCATCCCTGGGTAGTGTAGATTCTAAATTTTACAAATCATGACCCCTGGGGATTGGGCGGGGCCAAAATGGGGAATCCAAGTTTTACATAGAAATGTATAGGAAAAATCTTCTTATCAAGAACCATTGGGCCAGAAAAGGTTAAACTTATGTGGAAGCATATTGGGGTAGTGTAGATTCAAATTGTACAAATCATGACCCCGGGGGTAGGGCGGGGCCAAAATGGGGAATCCAAGTTTAACATAGAAATATATAGGAAAATTTTAAAAAAATCTTCTTCTCAAGAACCAACTGGGTCAGAAAAGCTGAAGCTTATGTGGAAGCATCCTGGGGTAGTGTAGATTCTAAATTGTTCAAATCATTACCCGAGGGGGGGGGGGGTGTTTGGGCAGGGCCACAATGGGGAATCAAAGTTTTACATAGAAATATATTGGAAATCTTTGAAATGCTGAAACTTATGTGGAAGCATCCTTGGTCAGTGTTGATTTCAAATTGTCTAAATTATGATCAGTGGGGTAGGGTGGGGTCACAATTTGTATTACAAGGGGGAAATCTAGTAAAGAACAGAATGGTCAAAGCTTCTCAGGTGAGCGATGTGGCCCATGGGCCTCTTGTTTATTAAAGACCTAATTGGAGGTTGGGTGGGGCCACAATGGCTGATCAAAGTTTAACATTTGAGTATACATGTTTAGGAAAATTCTTTAGAAATCTTCTCAAGAAGATCAAAGCTATGGTTGGTCATATTTATATGAAAGCATCCTCAGTTAGTGTAAATTCAAGTTTGTTTAGATCAAGAGCGCAAAGGATGGGGTGTGGCCTGGAGAATTAAAGTTCAATTTTGTAGGGAAAAAGTCACAGTAAGTCAAATATATTTATATAAAAACATCCCAAGTTAGTGTAGATTTAATTTTGATCAAATCATAACCCCCCCCCCCCCCTTTCATGGGTACATGGGATCACTCATGCATTTAAGCTTTTCAATACTAAAATGATTTTTTGGTCACCTGAGTACACTATTCATCCATTTTGTGTTAACATTTGAACATTTTCAGCTTCTTCTCTTTAACTACTCAACCATTTTTGGCACAAAGCATCTATGGGTGAAGGGAAACAAAAATTGTGAATTTCAAGGTCCCTCCCCCCCCCCCTGGGCCTGAGGGATGGGGCAATACCTAATTCATAACCCTGGCGGGTAGGGTGGGGTCACAGAATAGCATGGTGAAAGTAACTCAGGTGTGCAAATTAGGCCATTGCCTTTTGTCATAGTCTACAAATAAAATAATGTGACAAGTAAGTGTGCATTAAATTGTTCATGTAGTAAAGCATTATACATGAAGAATATGTAAGTGAACTTTCCAGAAATTCTTATTTGCAAATAATGATGTGGATTAATATTATTTTTCATTGAAATTTTAAATTCTGTAATTTAATAACCCTTGTTTTGGAATTTGGGGAGGGTAAAAAGTTAACCCCTTTTAGTTTTAGGAACATATTACAGTTACTTTTTCATTTGGTATGGAAAATGTTCTGTTTTATTTTTGTAGATGCCAAGGAAAAAGACCTTGAGTGGAAGGGAGAATCGTCTTAAAGACAAGATGCGTAAGAGGGAGAAGAGGCAGAAGCAGGCCCTTCCCTTGTCAGATGTCCCACCAGATGATACGCAAGCAGAATCTGCTGTCTCTTGCGGGACAGTAGATGGGGTTGTTACAGCTCCACCCGGTAATTTTCCGGGGCAAGGCTTTATAGGGTTGCCGCCTATTGAGGAAAAACCCTTGGCCAGGTTGCAGGCCTCTCTTCGCGAGAAAATGCAACCAACCGCCCTGAGTAACGCATCTCCTCAGGGAAGTCGTCTGTGTGCCCGAAACGGAGGCATGGCACCGTCCCCTGACTCCCCACCGTGGGTTTGTACTCCAGCGAGGGTACCTGAGCTGGACACCGTGCACGTGTCTGGCTCAGCAGGTCAGGCGCAGCTGGATATGTCATCCTCTCAGGGGGATGAGTCCAGCAGGATATTGATTGATGCAAACCAGAGTAAAAGAACGAGATCTAAAAAGGATACTAAAAGGAATTTACATGATGAAAATGAGAATTTGTACAATGTATATGAGAATAGTAAATCAGAATGTAGAATTCAAAGACCTTGTAATGGTGGACCATCTGATGCTGATGCCTGTATTGGTGATAGCGGACCAGTAACAACTAGCAAGGTATCTGTTCAAGGTTCTTTTCATCAGGGTAACTTGATGTTTGGTGAAAATGCAGGAACACAATGTGTTGCCAACTCCTTAGCAGCAATAGCATATCATAAAATAAAAAACTCAAAACAATGGCAAACTTCAGATATGAATAAAGTGTTAGTAACAGGCGATGAGCTTTACACATACTTGCAGCGTAGTTCAACCATTGTTAGTAGATATCTTTTAGTTGACGAGTTGCCACAATTTTTTGAGTGTTTTGATACAATGTTTGAGTTCAAAGCACATGAACCTTTATGCAGTCTGATAAATTTGTCTGATGTAGAGCCCAGTTATGATGAATTTAATGCGTATTCACTGTTAGATGCATTGGAGATTGCTCTTAGAGAATCAAGTGGGTGTTTTGTGTGTTTCAGGGGAAATACATTTTTAGTGGGGAAAACAGAAGATGGTTATTTTACATTTGATTCACATTCAAGATCATCATCAGGGTGTATGAGTTTGAATGGAAAGAGTACAAGGATACTATACCAATCAGTTTACAACATTTACAATCACATACTGTCATTAGCATTGTCAATGGGATTTTCGGGAATTACTGAATGTGAAATAACAAGTGTGGATTGTTCAGTTAGGCACTTTGCATCTACTGATAAAAGTGAGCACATAGAAATCATTCAGAAAAAAGAAGATTTGGCATTCCAAGAAAATGCAAACATTTCTATTCTACATACTGAGTCAGTTGAGGATGATGATGTTGAATTTGTTTACAGTGAAAGTCAAAATATTAGATTTTTTCCAATATCTCAAAGTATGAAAGAACAACTTTGTCAGATTATTGGAATACCACATTCAAATAGAATTGATAATGATGTACAAAATTGTCATGTTCAAGAAGTGGGTGCACCTATTGAGTGTGTTGAAATTCAAAGGGATGGTAATTGTTTCTTCAGAGCTATTTCATTTTGTTTGACTGGAGTGGAGGATTATCACTATGCAATTCGATCAGCAGTGTGTCAACACCTTCTCCACAATAGAATATTGTTCAAACCTTTTGTTAGACAGGCAGAAAGTTCTGTAGAAAATCATTTTTCTATAACAAAGATGTCAAATGATGGTTCATGGGCAACTGAACTAGAAATAATGGCTGTTTGTCATCTATTGAGTATTGATATACACACATATACAGAAAATCATTGGATTACATACTCAAGACGATTGATGGAACCTTCTGCAAATACTCAGTCCATAGGATCAATTTATCTAGATCATGAGAATCGGAATCATTACAATGTAGTGCTGACAGTTGCTGAGAATGAAACAATTGGTTCTTTAAAAACACATACTGGTAAAGAGGGATACAGGGAAAGACGCAGAAATCGAAACCGCATGAGGAATGTACGTGTCTGTTTATCAACAAAAAAACTAAGGAAAGATCATGAATTGAAACTAAAGAATGTAAATTGTAAGGAAAAGAAATTAAGATCAAAAAATCTTAAGTACAAGACTGACTTGAAATTTAGATTAAAGGCAATCGCAGATGGAAAATATAGATATAGATGTGATGAAATTTACCAAGCAAAAGCAAAAGAAAGGAGTGTGGAAAAATACTCTTTGGATGCAGAACACAAGTTGAAACTGAAGGAGGCAAGCAAAAGAAAGTATAAAACTGATGAAGGTCATAATCAATATAAGAAAAAAAGAAGCATTGAGAAATATAGTTTAGATGTAGTGCATAGAGAGAGTGTAAAAGAGAGAAGTACAGAGAAATACAAGAATGATGAAGTACATCGAATGGATGTTAGGCAAAGAAGTACAGAGAAATACAAGAATGATGAAGTACACAGAATGGATGTTAGACAAAGAAGTACAGAGAAATACAAGATTGATGAACTGCACAGAATGGATGTTAGACAAAGAAGTACAGAGAAATACAAGATTGATGAACTGCACAGAATGGATGTTAGGCAAAGAAGTGCAGAGAAATACAAAAATGATGAAGTACACAGAGTCGAATGAATGTTAAGCAACGAAGTACAGAGAAGATACAAGAATGATGAAGAACATAAACAGAAGATTAAGACTGCTAATAAAATGAAATATCATTTCAGTGAGGATGAGAAAAAGAAGAAGAAAGAGGCAGTTTTTAATCAGAGACAAACACTGAAAGTAAAGCTTGAAGATGAAGAAGAAGTTTTGGCATTATTCAGGGAAAGTGTAAGAAATGGTCCAGAATACACATGTTGCTGTTGTCATCGTTTATTGTTTGAACACCAAGTTCAAGGATGCACTCTTGAAATGTACAAAGGAAGACATCAAGCACATGAAATTGCAAAGGCATGTATACAGGAGAAATACTGTCATGAGTGTACATTGTCTTGTCCAATGCATTGCCCACAGTCATCATTGTGGATATGTTTTACTTGTCATAGGAAAATATTAAGTGGTAATGTTCCAGCAGAAGCAGCTGTAAATAAAATGTCACTGGAGGAAATTCCTAATGATCTAGCCAATTTGAACAGTTTGGAGCAGCATTTAATTGCTTTACATATTCCTTTTATGAAAGTGATGGCTCTTCCACAAGGTGGTCAAAGAAATGTGCATGGGCCTGTTGTTTGTGTGCCATCAAATATAAAAAAGGCAACAAGTTTACCAAGAAGTCACGATGACAATCTCTTGTTAAGAGTTAAACTGAAACGCAAACTAGCTTACAAGGGCTATTTTGAATACCAATTTGTCAATCCAAATCACATAAAGATGGCTCTTGATTATTTAAAGAAAGAGAACAAATGGTATCAGGATGTTGAAATCAATACTAATTGGGAGGGAAATAGTGACCAAAATGATTTGCTACCAAAAGAGACCATTGACCAAGATCAAGAGAAATTTGAAGATGAGGAAGTGAAAGAAGGTGAGATTGATCAGACTTCAGAGGTTGTTACTGATACATGCTTACAGCCTGTCGATGTTGCACAAGAAGTTCTTGATCATTACTTTGACGATATTTACAATATAGCACCAAGTGAAGGAAAAAATCCAATTCGAATGTTGCAAGAAGAAGGTAACGAAGCAAAGACTTTTCCACATTTATTTCCAAGTGGAAACTTTTCCTGGAATGAAAATCGAGATGTAAAGATAACTCTATCAAGGTATTTTAACAACAGACTTATGAATGCAGATAACAGATTTGCTAAAGACACAAATTACATTTTCTTCTCTCAATACATGTCAGAATTAAACCAAGTAATTGAGAAAACACAAATTTCAATCCGAAAGTCTTTATCAAAGCTTGATACTGGAAAAGCAGTGACATCAGAAATGTTACAGAATCCAGATGTTCTGTGTAATCTCCTTAAGAATAATGAGGCTTTACGCTTTATGCAACCTATTCGAGGAACTCCTGCGTATTGGTCAGCTACTCAGAAAGATCTTTTTGCCATGCTTCGACAACTAGGAATTCCAACTTGGTTTTGTTCATTTTCGGCGGCTGAGTTCAGGTGGAATGAAATTATTGGATCAATATTGCATCATGATAATGATCCTAGATCCCTGTCTGATTTAGACTGGTCAGAAAAAAGTGAAATTTTGAGAAGCAATCCAGTAACTGTGGCAAGAATGTTTGAACATAGATTCCATATGTTTCAAAGGCATGTAATTTTATCACCATCAAAACCAATAGGGAATGTTATTGACTATTTTGTGAGAGTAGAATTTCAACAAAGGGGTTCTCCACACATGCACTGTTTGTACTGGGTTGAGAATGCACCCAAAGTTGATGAAGACAATGAGGAAACTGTTTGTGATTTCATTGATAGATATATCACATGTGCTTTACCTTGTGAAAATGATGACGCAGAGCTTCGAAGAATTGTTCTAGGTGTTCAACAACACAGCAAAAGTCACTCAAAATCATGTAGGAAAAAGGGAACAGATTGTAGATTTCACTTTCCAAGACCACCATCAGAAAGAACATTTATTACAAGGCAATGTGAGAAAGATGTTGAGGACTGTGAAGATGGCAAAGGGTTGTCTAAATCTCAAGCAAAAGATATTTTGTTGCGTGTTTGGGATGAAGTTCTTGATGATATGAATGGATGCAAAACAACAGAGGAAATATTCTCCAATATACAATTATCTCAAGATGTTTATGAAGAAGCACATAGGGTATTATCTGCAAAATCAACTACTATCTTGAAACGAAATCCAGATGAAATGTGGACAAACCAATACAACGCATGTCTTCTCAAATGCTGGGATGCAAATATGGACATACAGTATATCTTTGATCCATTCAGCTGCATTGTGTATATAATTTCATACATTTCAAAGTCAGAACGGGAAATGGGAATGCTGCTGAAACAAACGCAAGTAGAATCTGCAGAAGGAAACTTAAGTGCTCGTCAAACGATGAAGAGAATTGGATCAGCTTATCTCAATCATAGAGAAGTAAGTGCCCAAGAAGCAGTATACAGAATCTGCAATCTAAAAATGAAAGAGAGTTCAAGAAAAGTTGTTTTTGTTCCTATTGGTGAAAATCCAACTCGACTGAGTAAACCTCTTTCACAAATAAAAAGTGTACAAAATGGTGAAAATGATATGGAAGATGATGACGACAGCATTTGGATGACAAATGTAGTGGAAAGATATGAAAATCGTCCAGATCTACCTCCTTTCCCTGAAATGTGTCTTGCAGAATTTTGCTCCGAGTATCGTGTTCTTGCAAAATCTCAGATTCCCCATGGAGAAAAAGAAGGTGTTTATAAATTAAAGAAAGGTCATGGTTACATTCAGAAAAGAACAAGAGCTAAGCCAGCTGTAGTAAGATATCCCAGATTCAATCCAGAAAATGCACCAGAAAAGTATTTTCAATCAATACTGCAACTTTTCCTTCCATACTGGACTCAAGATCAACTGAAACCGCCTGGATTTGACTTTTATCAGACATTTTTTGAAAATGGGTTTGTGAGAATAGGAAGTGAAAACAGATTGCAATCTGTCAGAAATGTAGTTGAAAAAAATAGGGTTATATTCTCAAAGAATGAAGATGCCCTTGAAAATGCGCAAGAAACTTTAGAAATTTATGGCGAACCTGAAGATGCTTGGGCTAACCTGTGTCCAGAAACTGAAAAGAATCGAGAAGAATGTCTTAACGAAAAGAGGAGAACAGAAAAATCAGAAAATAGAGAACCAGAAATCACTCATGAAATTGAACATGACAACTCTTCGGATGTGATATATCATATTAGGGAAAATTCTACATCAAGACAAGAAATCCTTCCTTTTTTGAGAAGTTTAAATGAAAAACAAAAGCAGGTTTTCTACTTGGTTCGTGAATGGTGTTTGAAAAAAGTGGCTGGGAAGAAAATAGAACCATTACATATTTTTGTGACTGGAGGTGCAGGGACAGGAAAAAGCCATCTGATTAAGACTATACAGTATGAAGCCTCCAGACTTTTCGAGAAAACGATTTCGTCTCCTTCAGATTTGTCTGTTCTTCTGACAGCTTTTACAGGAACCGCAGCTTTCAATATTGGGGGAAGCACAATTCATCACGTATTTTCCTTAACTAAAGCTCTACGCATTCCATATGAACCTCTGCAAGAACAAAGTTTAAGTGCAATGAGGTCAAGGATAGCTTCTTTGCAGATTTTAATCATTGATGAAGTATCTATGGTTTACAAGCGACTCTTGTACTATGTTCACGAACGCCTGGTGCAAATCAAAAAATGCAAGGAACCCTTTGGTGGTATTTCAGTTATAGCTGTTGGAGATTTTTACCAACTACCTCCTGTGAAACAACGAAAGGTGGAAATATTGTACGAAGAAAATGGTGAATATCCTGTAGATTACTGGTTAGACTTCTTCAAAATCGTTGAGTTGGAGGAAATAATGAGACAACGCGATGACGCTGCATTTGCTTCAGTTTTGAATTCACTGAGGATTCGAACAATAAATGAACCACTATCGGAAGAGGCAATATCAATGTTAAAAGAATGCATTAGGGAAGGACCAGATGAAGCACTCCATGTATATCCTACAAACGAAGAAACAAATGAACATAATCTGAAGATGCTGCGATCAAACTGTGGAGAATTGATAGAGATTGCTGCTGAAGATTATCAGAAAGACAATACTACTGGAAAGTTGACTCTACGTGAAAAACCTTTCATAAGGACAAGAACAGATGGGCTCTCTGCTTCTTTGCTTTTTTCAGTGAATGCTAGAGTAATGCTGACGAGAAATATCAATGTCGAAGATGGACTTGTAAATGGTGCAATGGGGCATATTTCAGATTTTGAGTTTGGAGAAGCTCAGCAAATAAACAGGGTAGAAGGAATTAGAATAATTTTTGATAGTGAGGATGTTGGAAGACTGCAAGGAAAAAGGACAAGCCATGGAAATGAGGTATTGATTCAAAGATTACAAGAAGACATCAGGGAGAAAAATACAAAGAATGTTATTCGTCACCAGTTTCCTTTGAAACTTGCATGGGCATGTACAGCACATAAAGTTCAAGGCATGACAATAAACAGAGTTGTTGTAAATTTAGACCGTACTTTCGCCCCAGGACAGGCATATGTTGCAATAAGCCGTGTCACTTCACAAAATGGTTTATTCATAGAAACAAGAGATGAAAATGCATTGCTGAAGAAAATTTACGCTAACCCAGACATAAAATCAGCACTGCTAAAGATGGAAAAATTAATCCCCAAAGAAGGTTATCCGCAATGCTGCACTGAAAATGGAAGTTTCAAAACGATTGTCCTGCTTAATGTGCAGAGTTTAAGGGGACATATTCTAGACCTAAAAAGTGATACCAGATTGCTCCAAGCAGACTTTATATGTCTTACAGAAACATGGCTGACGGACAATGAGAATATGAAGGACTTTGAAATTCACGACTTCGAATTCAACCACACCACAAGAAAGCAGTCATATGATGAAAGTATGAATGGTTTTGCTAAACTTCGATCAGCCAAAGGAGGAGGTGTCGGTATTTACAAGAAGAGAAAGGAAAACGCTCTAGTTCGTGATTTACCTGAAAAAAATATTGAGGGAATGGCTATAGAGCTATATGAGGAAAACACTGTAATCATAGTTGTATATCGACCAAGTGTTCTCAGTGTCAGATGCTTTCTTGATGGCCTAAAAAAGATTGTAGACTTCTTTAAGGTTCGGTATTCCCACTGCATTGTACTTGGAGATTTTAATGAAGATGCGCAATGTGATGGACCGATTCAAAGAATGTTTGAGATTTTTGGATTTGTGCAGAAAGTACATTTTGCAACAACAGAGGGCGATACTATACTAGATCATGTATATATCACAGAACAGATGAAAACAAGTGTAGAGGTCATGCCAGTTTATTATAGCTATCATAAAGCTGTGACAGTGAATTTAAAACAACACTAAATGAAATCTGTTTGGATTTCATATAGGTCAAATTATATATGTGCGGTTTCACTTTTATGTACATATTCACTTCAAAGGACACTGGTCTATCTCTGAATCAGAATTTTATCATCAGTTTTAATATTGCATAAAACATTTGAAATCCAGACTTTTTAAAAATGACCTCATATACTCATGTTCTTTCATGGAATAGATAAAAAAATTGATAAGTATAGGAATAAACTCTGAATCAGAATTTTATAATCAGTTTTAATATTGCATAAAACATTTGAAATCAAGACTTTTTAAAATGACCTCATATACATATACTCATGTTTCTTCATGGAATAGATAAAAAAAAATGATAAGTATAGGAATAAACTTGATTGGTTCAATTAAATTTTTAGTTTTTCAGTTTTATAAATAATGATTTTGAAATCGGCATGTGTATTGATGCTTGATTTATGCATCATTCAAATTTAAGATTATATTTGTAACTAAATATTGATGTACTGCTTCTGATACAGCGATTACATATTGAATAGGAACTCATATATATGGAAAACATTAAACCCACAGCATGTACAGGTTGGGGATAATGAAGTAACGATATCGACCTAAAATTTTTAGGACGCAATTTATAAAATTTGTGGCAAAATGAGATTGTTAAATCGTTGTTTTGAATTTTTTTGCATCAGTAAATTGTTGCTAGTTTTATATTTGCTATGCACCGCAAAGGATTATTGAATATAGGAATTATTTCACGTAGGAACTCATAAAAATTTCTTGGAAAACATTGCAATTTCAACCTGAATTTCCTCTGTTCGTTCACGTTAGCCTGTTGAGCTCGCTACGCGAGCGGTGCTTCGCGCCGCCTCGCTATTATCATTAATAATTTTGAAAATAATCTCCTAAATGCTTACACTAGAGTTGACATACTTATTCCTGTAATATTATACTAGGTGTGAGATGAGGTTTGTAAACAATGTTTAGATGTTTTGTACTTCAGTAAAGTGCGCGTTTATGTTCGATAAACACTCATGAAATAGAAAAAGACATCATAAAAGTATTTTCAATAAACATGATAAATACCCATGAATCTGGATTTTTCTTCAGTTAAGCTTAAAACAATTTTTCTGCCTGCCACATTCAAACGATACTACATGCCTGTATATATTTGTATATACTTGTTTTTAAGAGTTGAAATATTTCTTTAGGCTATTTCTTCCTCAAATGGACTTCACTATTTGTCCCATATCTCTCATAGTTTTATTCATTATATCAGATAGATAAGCAATAGTCGAATTTCACATTCCTAGAGTTATCTCCCATTGTCGGTGTATCGCTCATTTTTCCCTCTTTGTCCTTTGTAAGTTACCTATTAATATTTTGAAATTTCAAACGTTATAGGACAATTTCGATCTGTACCTGTATTGCCAGAGTATGGAGAAACATGAAAATCATATTAATAAGGATATTCATAATGATTTTATTTCTAGGATACTGACCCATAAAGATGGTAAGGTTAAAAAGAGAAACAAGTTGCTGTCCTTTAAAAAAGGACTGCAATACGTGGACCATACGCATGTGTTCGAACCGAAATTCAATTAGAGAATTTTTTTAGATTGAGTGAATTTACGTAGGTTTGTTTACATTTCCACTATGACCTGCCTACTTTGACTGATTAGTACATTCATAGCAAAATTATTAAATTTTATATACGATCAGCCTATAGTTAGCCTATAGTTTTCTAATTTAAAAAAGGTCGGGCTATTTTGATACATGTAATCCATATTGACTGGTACATGATTTCGTTTATCCTTTTCTGAAGAATTAAGCTAAGGTTTTAACCTATAACTGATACCTAAACATCGTCTTTGGAAATAGCTACCACTGGCAGTTTTAAACCTGTGGGAGGAAAATGATACAAAGATACTGATATACAAGTACATAATTATCTCACCAACATGTCACTGTGCAACGAAGTCGTCGGCATTTAATTATCCTCTGAATGGATGAAACGTTTTGAATCGCACTCCTATCGTGAATTTTTTTTACACTAAACCAATATATGGTGCTACCATGTACTTTGCAGATCTACATTTATTTACCCGCCAAGTTCATCTTAAAACCGGAAGTACGACTTCGTGAATTTGAAATCTCGATCCCGACTCAAATTTGACATCGGAAAGATAAAACGGTTTTTCTCAATTTTATTTATTTTTTCCCTGAGAATTCAAAATCTTGTGAGTGGCAGGTTTGTTAACCTAAAAAAATGCTGATCATATATAGAGCACCATAGTAAACATTTACAGCAAAGTAAAGAATATTGGCAATGACTTTTTTCTTAAAGTTGACGGCCTGGTGTCTTAAATGCATTATAATCATGTTTGGTAAATCAACTTTTACATACGTTACTATGGTAACAAATTATTAAAAAGTAAAAAAAAAAATACAGGGTAATTGAATTTTATAAAGTCATACAGGTAAAAACAAAAAGCTATTATAGGATAAAATGTGACCAAGTGATAGAGAAAAGAGCCTTGGAACATATATGCCAAGGACAAATTATATTTCATTTTAGCTGGTAAATGGTTGTCAAGACTTTAATACAAAATTTACACTCTGTATGTTTGAATATGATCTACCTTTTAAAAAAGCACATTTTCTTATAAATGATGATCAATTTTAAAGGTGTTGGTGTGGTCCTAATTTTCCCATTAAATAATTCCACCCTCACAAGTCTAATGGTTCAAAGTGCAAAATCTAAATTTATTTTCATTTAATATACTTTATATTTTTCAATAATTACAAAAAAAAAATGTATAGGTCACCATATCATTGATGAGGAGAGACATAAATGAAAAGAAGTATATGTCAACGAAAAAACCACACATTTTTTGTAAACAATATTATGAAAAAGATATCAAAAATTGGTAAAATGCATAATTTTGATGCTGAATGTTCCTAAATACCTCCTACTTATAAGAAAGTTTTGAATTGTGAATATCAGGGAAACTATTCTACATTAGAAGTACATTGAAGCAATGCCCGAATCAAGAGACCAGAGAAGTTATTGCCATTGTCAACATTTTTTTTTTTAAAGATATTCAATTTGAGTTCTGCCACATAAGTACTATTCAAGGTAAGTCATATAAGACGTTTATTCGATTTCATGGCAAATGAAATCCTAATGAAGCTAAAAGTTCACTTTTAACAACTTGTACATGTACATTGTTTCCTTGGTAACAGTCCGCTAAGTAGCAATTAATCCCAATATGTGCTGGTGTCGTATTTACAAGTTCATTTTAAAACCGGAAGTACGAGTTCCCCCATTTGACTGAGGCTTTGACATCGGAAGGCTCACTATATAATTTTATTTATTTTTTCATGAGGATGGCTATGTTGTTAAGCCTCCCCCCGGAAGAATGGCTATATAGCGAGACTTCCCCCACGGAAGTTTCACTATATATAGCCGTTCTTCCGGGGGAAGGCTCACTATATAGCCAGCCTTCCCCCATTCATAGCGAGACTTCCCTCTCTTATTATAGTTTCCGGAACATTGTTTTATTATTTTAAAAAAATTATAACAATGTTAATTTATGACGAAATTATCTTCCATATATAAACATGTATTTATATATTTATTTTATATGCATGAACAGTTTGAATATCGTTTTAACTGTATTTTGATATCCATTATAACATATGCATGTACATTGAGATGATATAATATATATAATATGTATACCCTTTCCTTTACATGTATTGATAACGAATAATTTTATTAGTTCACGAGTCACTTATATGAAATGTTCTGATTGTTTTCAGCATTTGAATAAAACAAAAATTGATAGCATAGTTTTGTTTGTTTTTCTGTTTGTGTACAAACATTAGCTATTTACACATTAGATATGATTCAACCGATTTAATAAAAAAAAATGTAGCGAAAAGAAGAAAAAATTATAGTACTTAAAGACTGTGCGAGAAATAAAATAATTGTGCTCGAATGTGAAAAATAAAACATGCATTCCAAATCTCAATTATGATTTTCTTGGTTCCTAACTATTTTTATCGAAAGTTTCATGTACATAAAGTTTAAGTCTACTTTAAGGATAATTTTAAGCATCATTTAATAGATATGCTGAAATGTAAAATTGATGGGAAAATATTTCATTTACTTTATCCACAGGGACGTTTACAATATTAAAGACTTCAAAGACCATGGCAACCAAAATGTTATTTAAAGAATTATATTGCTTATACCTATATAAATGTACCAGTACTTTGTGCTCATAGCCTAAAAAACAGTGCCAGGGAGATTAATAGTCTTTTTAGAGCTAGCTAGACAAATTTAGCTCTAGAAAACTCACATGGGAATTTGTTACTTGAGTTTTAACAGTAATATACCAGAGATAATCTATTACTAATGAAATGATAATACTGTCAACTTCTTTATCTTTACATGTATATGCATTCCATGTAATTCAATAAATAGAAGTGTCCATGTTATCAATTTCTGCACTTCTGTTGACTTCTACATCAGACCATTTGTCTACTACGAAGGCGAGTTACGATACATTATTTAACACATTTATACATTCTATGACATATATAGATAAGTAACACTAAATCAGTGAAACTGATATAATTTTTTAGTTTTTCAAATTTCCTGTTCATACCCATACTAAACTTTCCCGATTAGTTTAACTTTCATGAAAAGGTTGAAATGTTTCGCCGAAAAACATGTGTCGCCAAAAGACGGCCAAGGAATCAGATACCTTCGATATTCAATAACTTAAATAAGATCTTTAAGACAAAAATGTTAATATAAACTCCATTCTTCTAAATAAAAAAAAAATGTTTTTTTTATGTTTGTTTTTTTTTCTATTAGTTTAATATGACTCAAGTGTGCATGAGAAAAACAGTTGTTACATTTAATACTTACTAAATACATTGATATTGTTTCTTAAAAACTATTCCTTATAACTACGATTTAAGATCTGTTTTCCCGCAAACAAAAATGATAGTAGGTGTCGTATTTCATTTGCACATTTAGTCTTTTCCTTTTTCTACTTTGAGAACCAGCCAAAACCAATTATAAAAGACGTATGACACAACCATGGATTTAAACTTAGTTTGACACGTAACTACTACGTGACAATCCCAGTGGTTTTTTTTTTTTTTTTTACATTTCATCATTATTTACTTTCGTTCGAGCAAACGCTCGGCTGCCTCCCAAAACCCCTATTGCGAAATGTCGAAGTTGACACAGACAGCCGCCATTTTGGACCCGCTTCAGATTTTTGAATGTTGATATCTAGAATTTGGATCTATCAATATTCAAACAAATTATACAGTAAACATTATAAGAAGGATTTCTATTAACATTCCAAAAATAAATGAAAAATATTGAAAAACAAAAAAGTTAGAAAATGCAGACTTTTTTATTTCGCTTCCAGTAGCAACCGGAAGTACTAACGACGCACGAAAAGGTAATTTCACATATCTTAAAGACATTATCTATCATCTCTAATAAGTCTCCAGTTAATATCTTCAGCCATTTTTGAAAAAAAGGGGGGACAAAAATTCATTTTAAAATCAGAAAACTGTCAATATCTTGGAACCAAGGGTGAGCATTCCAAATTTTCCTTCTGATGAACAAAGTTCATATAATGACGCATAATTCCTGAAAGTTTTATTGAAATCCACTGAATAGTTTAGGAGAAATCGCCTGCACAAAATTTTGGGGAAAAAAATAAGAATAATAATAATAATAATAATAATAATAATAAGAAACAGTAGAATAACAAGAAGGTCTTCCGCTGAAGACGGAAGACCTTAATAATAAAAGTGAAAAAGAAACCTAAGAATAACAAGAAGGTCTTCCGCTGAAGACGGAAGACCTTAATAATAAGAAACAGAGTAAAAACAATATGTTCCCCAACTTCGTTTGGGGAACATAATAATAAGAAACAGAGTAAAAACAATATGTTCCCCAACTTCGTTTGGGGAACATAATAAGGTATTCCTTCCCCACATTTTTACCGTGAACAACCTTGACATTTTTCTCTCGGTAAAGAAAAATATAATGCACGATAGAATGTAATCGTTTACGGAGGTATATATCGCACCAGCAAGTTTTTATCAAGTTCAATTATAACATTTACCAGAATATATTATATGATAGTAAATAAAATTTTGCTTAGCCGTCCGATTTTCATCGATAATGCTTAAATTCCATGTGTATAGATCAGTTCACACAAGTGTTTATCGCATGGAGTATACACATTTTGTTTTGCATTATCACGGGTTTCATGAGCGCCGAATACTTAACTATGCAGACTTAAAATGGGCATAAGAAAAGGCGTTTAACGTGGAGAAAAGAGAGTCCTGTAATTATACATGAATGCGTTTTATCCCAATATCTTACCTCGCATATATGAAACTGCATGGACTACTAGTATTCTGTAATAAACACTCAAAAATAATAAAGACTGTTATCTTTTCGATAAGATTTTTATATTAGGTTCTAAAAACTGAAAATTTGCCGTATATATATCAATCTTTTAACTTAAGTAAACTTTTGGGATTGCTAACTTCTAGAGACAGATTTTTTTTTATCCCACTTAAAACGTATTCCAAGCTTTTAAATCGTGTTTGTTCACGGTAGAATTGTCATAAATATTATATTATTCCCAAATGCGCATAAAGTTTACAAAAAATTTGTTCTAAAAAAATCTTTTGAGCAAAAAACTTAAAAACCACGTGTTTTATTTATTCTCTCATGGGTTTGTCTAAATGCTGTTATCTGATTGGTCAGAAGGATTAGTGCCTTGTTTATTCTGTGTATTAATAGCAACTTTCAGTTATCGTTCTTGACTTCCATATTTAGAAATCGTCCAGACCTGCTGAAACTGATGTAACTAGTACATACAATTGATCTTTATAAGTTTTACTTTGCTATATTTAGCTAGTTATAAGGGGGTACATAATAAATTTATCATTATTATAGCATTAACTTGATCCGAAGACCAAAGAACATGCGTCTTATCTAATAAATAAGCATTCAATAGTAAATGTCAGATTATATAATCATCACAACTTAATGGTGTGTCTTTCATTTACCATGTTTAAAATTTCAAAATCTTAATTGCCTCAAAATTCCTCACTGTATTGGCCCAGAGGAAAAAAAATTAGAATCTTGCATTCTGTTCTTATACATGTATTGAATTATATATATGTTTGCTAGGAAAATTAACAAGATAATACTTCTAGGCCTGAGTATTGCAAGCTACCTAACGATACGATGCATATCACAATATGGTCATGCAATACAACATGTATCATGTTTAATCAACAGTTAAATTAACAGATATCTTTACATATTTTCGCTTGCTAACCTCTACAGTTATAGAACATATAAAAAAGAAGAAGTTGAGACACCTAACCAAAGTTATTTATAGGTGAACATATAGTCTAACCATTGTATTTTTTCATTGCTACCCTATTTTCAATCATTTTGTAACATTAAATTTTTTTCATTTTACAGGTAGAATTTTCAAATAAGACAATGAACATTAACTGGTACCGTATCATGATACACACATACTTCTACGATATGCACATCGTGAGACCTTGCAATCAATACGATCAATATATTGTCGTTTGGTTCCACCTATCATATTTTCTTTTATCTCAGTGAACAAGGATTTTTAATGTATTCAATGAAATTTTTCACCACTTCTTTTTTAATAAAAAAATTGTCTTATCACAATTTACTTAATAATACTTTGTACAATAAAATTACAAAGAACTTTGATATTTTTTGCGCTTATAACATGTATAAGTACATACTAAACTTTGTATCTCTATACATTCTTAAATAAATCATTCAATTTAAAATCATGAAAATGGGATAAACTCCTCTATCAAACTTGCCAAGATATTATTGGTTTAAAAGTTCTATAGCTTGCTCCTTGCAAAGTTTCAATTTTTTTTCTTTCTATTAAAGTGTTGCAAGTTTTGTGCTCGAGTAAAAAATTCAATCTTTCTGAACGCCGATATTTTTAAATTGTTTTTAGACATGTTTACCAGGAAGTATAAAAACACATGACAGATTTAAACTGGCTAAAGTCATGTGACCTGAGTAAAGAGAAAGAGAACTTGCACTGGGCGGAAGCCATCATTGTCTCCTAAAATTCAGGTAGGCTTATTTCTTAAGAGTACATATTTCTAATTTCTAAAATGACCTCAAATGAGTTCTTTTTAATATATTCTTTCATCATTGGATTTCACTATTTTTGTAAACATCTCTTTATTAAGAACTCTTTTCTCAGCGGCTTTTCCTGTGCACATTACACATTATATATATATATATATATATATATATATATATATATATATATATATATATATATATATATATATATATATATATATATATATATATGCTAAATTGTAAATAACTGTGCCTTTAGTTAGTGGTGTTAACTTTTTGAATAATTTTACAATTTTCACAGTCATCTTTAGGCATTAAAAATTAGTACAATTTACTAGTCATAGCTCAACACGAGAAAATCTCGGAAATTAAAGCTGTTTCGACCCATTCTAATTTATTTTTATTTTTCCTATGCCTATAATCTATTGAAAAACTGAACGATTTAATTGATCACAAGAAACATCATTATACATCAGGATACTAAGCTTTCAATTTTCCTGAAACACATTTCTGTTATATTTTTTGTTTTATCTCCTATATTGTTTGTCAATAAATATTCACAAGGATTTTTTATATTCAAGAGACAAAACTTCGAACAATGGACCCCAGTACCAGTGCCCAGGACGTATTGCGATGTGACCTGTGTGAGACCGCTGTGGTACATATGCACTGTGATACATGTCTTGTCAACCTGTGCACAGCTTGTGTAGGAAAACACATGATTTCTGATGAATCCAAGGAGCACAAGGTCGTCAAATACCAGGTCAAGAAATCAACTCCCCTCTACCCTGGATGTACAACTCATAGCAAAGAACGATGTGAAATGTACTGTAAGCAATGTGTCATGCCTGTTTGCAACACTTGTATTGCATCTGATCAACATCTTGGTCATAAGTTTATAACAATTTTGCAAATTCTGGATGAACAAAAGAACAAAATATCCAAAGAAAATATCGAACTGAGAGAGACAATTTACCCAACCTACCAGGACATTGCCTCCGATGTACAAAACAGAATGAGTCAGCTAGAAAAGGAATATGGAGATCTCTCAACAGCCATAACAAAACATGGAGAGGACTGGCACAGAGAAATTGACAAACTTGTCAAGAAACTTAAAGCTGAAGCTGATGAGATGAAAAACACACAGTTACGAACTCTACAGACACATCTGAATGAAATAAAGAAGACAATGTCTGACATCAAGGATGAAATTGATGCAGTCAATGCCACTATAAACTCTAATGACTTGTCAAAACTGTTCGGCGTTAAATTCAATGTAGACAGATATAAGACACTTCCAGAAAAAATTGTGCCAGCTTCACTTAAATTCATGCCAGGAAAAATTCAAGAAAAAGAATTTCATGACATGTATGGAATTTTAACGATAAGTTCTCTCACTTCAGATGAACACTATTACAGTACGAAGTTTTCACCACCAGAACCAGAGACTGTCACCACCATAGACACTGAGTATGAAGACCTTCTCAATGTAGCCTGTCTGAGTGATGAAGAAATCTGGACAAGTGGAGGTGACAGCAGCATGAAACTCTACAGCATCAATCAGGGATCACTACTCAAGTTAATCAAAACCAAGTCAGGGAACTGGCCATTTGACATAGCAGTGACAAAAACTGGAGATTTAGTTTATACTGATTATGATGACAGAACTGTGAACATTGTGAAGAAGAAAAAGATAAAGGAGTTGATCAGACTACAGAACTGGAGACCTCGTGGTATCTGTAGTACCTTTTCTGGTGACCTCTTGGTTATCATGTACAGTGATTATGCCAACCAGACAAAAGTTGTCCGTTACTCTGGCTCCACAGAATCGCAAACTATTCAGTTTGATGATAAAGGTAAACCTCTCTATTCATTTGGTCTTTATGACAGATACATAACTGAGAACAGGAACCTGGATATCTGTGTGTCTGATGATGGAGCTAAAATGGTAGTGGTGGTCAATCAGGCCGGGAAACTGAGATTCAGGTACACTGGACATACTCCTGCTCCAAAGAATAAACCATTCCGTCCACTAGGTATCACAACAGACAGTCAGAGTCGCATCCTTACAGCTGATTATTACAATGACTGTGTCCTCATCATAGACCAGGATGGACAGTTCCTCCGTTACATAGACTGTGGACTGAGTAGACCCTGGGGACTGTGTACAGATACAAATGACAATCTGTTTGTTGCTCAGTTCAATCACAAACAAGTGAAGAAAATCAAATATCTGAAGTGATTTTATTGTACTCTATATCATGGCATAATGTACTATATCATTTTAAGTCAGTGCATTCAAAAAAGATTGGCTTTACATTTTCAGGAAGTCATAATCCTTGTTTTGTCAAAGATGAATATCAAATGATGAATTACGTTGTAATACATGTATGATGATATTAGTGTAACATTATTTTTCCAAAGACTGTATCTTAAGGTAATCTTCTGTGATTAGGTATCAGTAAACTCTGCCGATGTATAGTTTTAGCCAAGACCAGAAAAACTACAGATTTGTGTGTGCTAAATCATTAGAGGTAACTTTACCAAAACCCTCTCCTAAAGATTGCAACCACCATAAGAAGAAATAAAAATGTTTTGACCCAGTTTGATGAACATAATAAAATCATCAAGAATACATGTTTATGCTTATATATGGAATTCATGTAATGATAAAGACCCAAGCATATCTGGGTTTTTATACCCGAATTTTCTAAAGAAAGAAGATGGTTGGTGGTGTCATGTGGATGTGCAGTTAGGTTTCAGAATTTTTTTTTTGCTCTGGGGGGTCAATGGGGGTCGAAAATTGATGTTTTTATGCTAAAAGCTCCGTCTACCCTGAACTCCTTCATTTTACTCATTTGCCTAATCATCTTTTAGGAGAGTTAAATATATTTTGAATATAAGGTAAAACATCAATGCCAAGGGGTAAAAACCATAGCATGCTTGGGAAATTCTTGATTTCTTATGAGTAATTAATGTATGCATGTCAAATGTGAAAGTCATATCAATCAAAAGTTATAAGCAAATGCAACATTTTTGAAAAGTAGGTTAAGCTTTAGGGTCAAGGTCACAGAGTCAAAAGTCATGATTTATTTTATATTTTTATCACAGGTAATAATAAACAGGCATGTATAATATGTGTCACAGTCGTAATATATCTATTACTCCATCAATAAACAACAGCACGGCTAGCTGGTGGGTTCATTTGTATTTCTTGAACTTTATTCTCATAACTGACAAAATAGTGAAGAGAAGATATATACACTGTACAGTATAATGAATATGAAATATTACATGCATGAAGAAGTGATAACAGAGTAAGTAAACCTCGGTTATTGCGAAGTCCTGGGGACCTGTAAATTTTATTCGCTATATCCGTAATGCGCACAAATTCATATAACCATATGTACCGAATTCGCAATATGCATGTTTTCCTTCAAGTGTAACTACAAAATATGTCAGGGAAGCAAATATTACAAAACATACTTTCGAGAACTAAGATTTTATTATAATGAATTGAATGTCATATAAAGATGCTAAAAGAAAATAAAGTCAGTTCAATTTATCTCATTTTAAGATCTTTGAAAGTTCGTTATAAAAGATGTAAATTTCATTATATTTAATCTCAACGGGGCTCAAAATCAGTTCGCTATATCCGTAAATTCGTTGCATCAGAGTTCGTTATAACCGTAAAATTTTACAAAGATTTGTTAAGGGGAATGTACGGCCACCTTTAGTACAGTGAGAACAAAATGTAAACATTTCCTCAAATGGCTAAAATACATTATATTTTGATCAAATTTTAAGTCCTTATGATAAAGATACAAGAAATATACATAACTGAATGCATGTTGTGCATATATAATCTATACTTTTGCAGAAAAATGCTTTTGATATGCTCCTTAGAACTGCGCAGCTGCAGAATTCAGCAGAGCCTTAAAAAATTCCAAAAAATACGCAAACTGTGCATTAATGTTCTCTCTACAACCATTTGTTGAGAAAATGTCTAAATTTTGCATTTTTAAATGATAATTTCAAGTTCAAAATAAGGTATCGTTGTCTTCAAAAAGAGTGTAAAGAACCATGAAAGTAGTTCATGGATAGCAGCACGTGGTCTATTTTTAGCACAAAATTTTGTTTTTCAGACCTCTTCTTAATATTGAGGGACATAACAATCTTTAAATGTAGAGGTGAATTACAGTTGCAAAATATTTCAAATAATATGAACACTTTTAAAAGAGGATATGTGTTATAGTGTGGCTTGAAGTAATTTATTTAGTTTTATTATCGAACAGTTGTCAAATAGTGTACGTATTGATATAAAAGAAAAAATCTTAAACTCTTTGATTCATGGTAAGGAAAAATGAGTACCATCAAAGTTAAGAATTAAGAGTTTGTAAGTTTGCCACAGATAGCATAATATCTATCAAAATTTTATTTATCACCAATGAAACACAAAGAAATTAAACACATAAAATCGATATGAATGACCTTGTTTTAGTACCTACTAGTACGAGGGGTGATCAAAAAGTTCGCGAACTATCTCTACAAAACCACAATTCAGATTAGAAACAAATTTGGTGCACACATAGCCAGACACAAGTTCTATAAATAGCATATGCTGAATAAAGTTTTTCTTACAATGTGAAAATGACGTCATTATGCAGGTACTTGTGACGAAAAATGCTTATCTTTGTGGAACTCGTTCAACAAACGACTTAAAAACATTTATGGTATATCTTAAACATGCCTTTGAAGTAGCGTATAAGAATTTGTTCACAGTTTATTAAGACAAATGACATCCTCTAAATTCAATCAATGATTGGATAGATCGTTTTAGTGAAGGAAGGCAGATGGTTAAATATGATACTTGCTATGTTGCCCGGTGAAAGCAAGTTTGAAAAGGGATGTGTTTTTAATTAAGCAATATGCTATCAAAGACCTCCAATTTACACTTTGAAAAATACTTGAATATTTCAACAATAATATAACTATCAAATACCTAAGATATCGTTTATTTTTTTATCACCCCTCGTATACTCTGTCAAATAAACATTTACAATTTTCATTACAGCGGAGCAACATTTGAAAAGGAATGAAATAACTAGAGTAGGTTAGAAGATTTAATGAATAAAAAAAAAACTTTCTTTTATTTGGCCTTTTTGTCAAAATTACAATTCTACAGAGTATAAAAGAAAAAATTCAACATAATTAAATATTTTATACCATCTTTAAAATGACGTTTGGTGGTCCTCTCAACTCAAGGAAAAATTATTGGGTCCGTATTTATAGGTGAGAAAAAAAATTCCTTAACATTTAAACATATTTGTTGATGGAAGAAAAAAAATCGTGTAATGAGATATAAAAAAAAAATTGAGTCGGGCCATTTCTAGGCAATAGATCGGGAGAGAGGGCAACCAAACATTTTTATAACAAATGGTCTTATAAGGATTTTTATAACAAATGGTCTTACAAGGTTAGTACATGTTCCATCACATATTTAGTAATGCGAAATTTTTGAATCTTTAGCACTATTTTGAAAAACAAACATAGGATTTTCGGAGGAGGGGGGGTGGGGTAGACTCTCATTTTTTTTTTTGCGATGATAAACATAGCATATGCAATGGACCTTTCTTTGCAAACACTGTGCTTGCTTCTTAATTTCAAAGAAACGACTCAATATATTTTATCAAGCTTCGTATGTTCAATGAGCGAGAGCTTACAACGTTGTCAACATAAGGAGACATGATGCTTTTTTATGTCCAAACATTACTCCATACAATGTATGGTTCATTGCAAACAATCTAGCTATTTATGTGAGGTGCCTGAAGGAAATCCTCTAACTGCCTATTTTTTATATCTAACTGCTAAACAAAATAGACATATGTACTCAATATATGTACAAACAGAAATAAGACCCGCCGTAAACACATATGTTTAGGACATATTTTATCTTTTTTCTTGAGTTTTAAAAAACCAACAATTATCAAGACTTCTTCCATGAAAAATTAAAAATAATCATAGTAATAAACGCATCTATCCACAGCAGATATATGCACATGCTAACCACGTGCTCAGTGGAATGATATTATCGAGGAAATTCGATCTGTACACTGAACAGTTTTTCCCGATTTGCTGGAGTGGGGTTAAAATCGCGTTTTTTCATTAATCAGACAATGCGATGCAACAAATAAAAGTAGTAAGTAATATAACCCTAATGATTTTTATTTAGTTATTTCTTGTTTTGATGTTATTATGGTCGTATTTATTCTTAAATCAATGTTATTCGAACTCTGTGTGACCGAGGAATGGCGGACGAAATAAACACATGGCCTCAGGAAGACACCCATATGAAAAATCAAATTTTCAAGAATTATTGATAATGACAAGAAAAATGCGAAACAAATGGTTGTAGCCATATTATCAATGAACCAAACTAACACCATTTTCAATGCATTTTTCATCTCGTGAATGCTGTAGCTGCGCAGTTCTAACATGATTAATTTCCTCCTAATTAAAACAAAATACACCTAATTATTTACTAATTTTGGTCTCTAACAGTAGGTAATTAGTGCATTAGCACCTTGAGTAACTTTGGGCTAGTTTAGTTGAGTATTAAGCACATTCTTGGTATTTCTTATTTTACACCACACTAGATCTAATATGGCTTGTACATCCCCCTTAAGAGTTTTGCTGGGGACCAACAAAAACTTAGTTATACCCGTGAATTCGCTATATCCGTGTTCGTACTAAACGAGTTTCACTGTAATATCAACCAAGAGACCTTTACACCCTTTACAATATAATAACAACTAGAAGAACAATTAAGGTGACCTGTAAAATAAATGAATACACTCATACACTAACACTAATACATTAAATTATTCTAGAATATTTCAACTATTCTCTTTAATTAGATAATTAATTGAAACGGTATTTATCTAATTATTTATTCATAGTAACGGTGGTAAAAATTCTTATCGAATAGACATATATTACATTGTCTTCATTAATTAAATGAAAGACTTATTTATTGACTCTTCCTTCCTCCTGACTATATTAGGGTGGGATGAGTTATTAGGGGTGTTTGGTGCCAAGCATGCTTATTTGGTTCCAAACTAGTAAAAACCACTCACATGCACACTTCTCACACTAAAAATTTCAACCAATCATGCATCTTTATGTCGCATATATTCTGACACAAACACCTTTGACCTTTCACACTCTCAAACGAACCAATGAACATCCAATCCCCTGAATATGA